AGGGTGCTTCTGTTCTGTTCTTAATCATGGGCTTAAGTATAAGGATCATGAACTGCGATAACGACCAACTCTACATAGCTATATATATGTATATATCTCTCTCTCTGTGTGTTTGTTACCCCATTGTTACGAAATGTTATCCCCAGCTAGACAACCCGTTAGTCCTCCAGATTTCGAAACCGTCCGTTCCACTTGATTGATTTTGTCAAGGTTAGTTTCCAAAAGAAAAAAGAAAAAAAAATAGATCATGTCATCAACACCTGAAAATTCACGAGGAGGTAGGTATGTTGATGGACCAAGGCTTACTTATATAGTTAGGTACGTAGATAGAGGTAGCTTTCTGACGTCAAACAGTTGGATCTTTCGTTTCTCGCTACCTATGTATGCCACCATGCTGTTTATGTTCAGTTATGCGCCAGTTCTTTTGTACACAAACTAACGTGGAAAACCCGAACAACAGTTAGTAATCGAATAAGGGACATACCTAGTCACATACACTCATCCACCCACTGTATGTATGTATACCTCCTTTGCGTAAGTACATACCGTACACATACATGATTCCCCAGAGGAATCCCAGAGTCTCGACATCTTCTTTCATCTTCCGGTGAATCCTCAGAAGAGGTATAGCGAAACCGAGGGATCAATACCATCACGCACGTCTTTAACTTCCTCAACGGAGGTTTAATAGCAAAACTAGCAAATGTGAAAGTATTATACGATATCGTGTAGAGGGAAGGAAAGATTATATAAAAAGGAAAGTGAACATAGGTTACAGCGCAAGCTCAAGAGGAGTGAGTAGTAAGGAAGTAAAGAAAACCCAAGAAGAAGAAGAAGGGGAAAGTAGAAAGGTGAAGAGAGAGGTAAAGAAACGGTAGAGGTGAACATGTAAACAGGAGGAGTTGACGCGAAGAAAGGGAAGACGACGAATTTGTAGATAGGAGTTTCAGATACATATAGTCTACCGTGAGCTGACAGCGATCTAATAAGTACCTATGTGATGTACTCGGTAATTAACCTTTGGGTCTTTCAGCTTCCATTGTCAATGTGCTTATAAGGTATGCTCACTCACAACGATGTCTTTTGCCTCGCTGAGCACTTTGAGCTGTAAAAAGAACGACCAAGATGTTGCTCCTGAGGACCATAAACAATAAGCATAAAGCTGAAGCATGCCACCCGCAGATGAACAAGACCCCTCCCTGCCTGTTCAGAAGTCAAGCTGCCTGCCCTCTCTCCCAATCAGTCGTGATCCTGCTGATGAGCGAGTTCCATGTCGATATACGTGGTGGTACATATCTAGCCGATAGGATGAGGTTATCCGCTCGAAACAACCAGCCTGCCTGCCAGCCAGCCAGCCCACGTGCACACGTGGTTCGTTGTTACTAAAGATAATCTTTTCACCCCCAAGCACCTTATCCTGACGACAACCTTCATGATCACTGTCCTGGACAGGCCTCCACGTTGTCCACGCTGGACCCTTTTTTTCCATCAACCCATGTCACGATCCGCGGCTCCAGAGGTTGGTCCAGAACCATCCGGAACCTCACCCTGTTCTGTGAACGTGTCAAGTACACTACGATGAGCGATGTCACGTTATTTTTAGCCCCGTCCGTCCAGCTGTCATTGTCGTTCTGTTCTGTTGGGATCACAGTGAGTGAATGACTACATCGATGTCATGTGTCAAAGCTGCAATGCATGGTATCCGGCATCGGTACCCAGTTGTTCCAGATCACGAGACAAAAGGAAAGGAAATGGATCAAAAATAATTACCGCGAAATGAGCATCACAAAACATTAATCAAATATGTAGAGCCTGAGATGGTATGACCCATCGAAACATTTTGACGATTAACAAACTCAACAGAAAGAAAAAAACAAAAACGCGTGAGTATGTATGAGCTGGCGATGTTCACACACTACTCACCGCGACTGGCGGGTTGTGATGAGCAGCAGCAGTCGGTGAAGATACATACACTACCTACATTATCAATCTGCAGAACGACGGAGTTAAGTTGTCAAGGAAAGAGACGATGGCACCAAAGAGTTGCAGCGAGATGGATATGTCATCGAGTCTAATCAGGGGTATCAATGGACCAACCTTGAAATCTGGACGCGCTCATTCGCGTCTTCCAATACGGCGGTGAAACCAAGCACGACGCGGTTTGTACATAGTTCAAGCAACTATCAATATTTGACCAATCAGCTTGCGATCGCACTGGCGGGGAACCAACAGCGCTCACAGCTGGGCTTTCGCTTTTTGCACTGTTGGCCGGCGCGCTTTTTGGTGGGTGGGAGGTAGTGGGAGGTGGGTATGAGCGGGGTGAAAGACGGGAATGAGAGTCCACATTCCACCGCTTTCTGTTCGTTTCTCACTTTTGCTTGGAGAACACATTTGCAACAGCAACATGAACAACAACACGAACAAGGCAAGGTTGTTGCCTTCAGTTGCTAAAATAGTGCTTGGAACTTGCAAGTTCTATCACGGCCAGACTTCTGTCCTTGCGAGATTGTCTGCATAGGCTTTTAGTCAAAAAGAGCGACCATCGCGTACACAGTACACAGTTCACTCGCCTGTGAGCTGCGGTAATTACCAAATATTACGACTTTGCAATCAAAGGCTCCGCCGCAACTGTGCCGTCGGGTCCTTTACGACATCATTGGCTGACCGCTTGTGTCCAATCAATTGCGGCAGTTATGCAACCCTTTGGCTGATTCTTATGCAACCATCTCGCATGTGAACTGGGCGCTGTCGCCTTTTTGTGCACTTTCTTTTGATTACTTGGCAACACCATTTGCACAAGCTTGCCTACACCCGGCCTACTTCCCACTTTGATTTTTTTTTTTTTTTTTTTTTCCTTTTTTTCCGCTTTCGTCTCCATTCAGCAAGCACATCACCACAAACGGCCGGGAAAAAGAGATTGCAGGTGCAACAGGTTTCAATGCAAGCCGTTTGCAACAAACAGCAACGACTGTCGACACGACACGACTGAACTTCGGTGTCCATGGTACCCGACATCCGAGGCAAATACGGGCATGGCGTGACCTGGGAGTCGCAAAGGGGGGCCAAGAGGAAGAAAAGCCGAAAGAAAAAATTTGCGAGTTCGGAAGGGAAACGAGTTTTTTTTGGTGATTTTCCATGAAAATCGCTGGGGCCGGGCACACGTTATGAGTCATAAACGAGGCTCGTGGTCTGAAAACGCAATCTGACAGGGATATGAGGCACTATCCACGGCAACGAGCCAATCCAGACCCGCCAAATTTTGATACAGGTACCGGTACAAGGCTCGACACGGCATCCGACAGGACTCGCAGCCTGATAAAACATGTCAAAGCGGGCGAAAAGGGAGGGCGCGCTTACCTTTGGTGACGCTTACGAGGCTCGCTTTGTATCGCTTTTGTTTTGCCCGTGATGATCCCGTCCCTCCTGGCTTTGAGTCTCGTTGCAGAAAAAAGCAGGCTTTTTGTTGTGTCGTGATCAAGTCCAACGCGTGCAAATGCGTCCCGCGTCATCCCATCAGTGACGAGATCTTTGCTCTGCCAACCGTGTCTGATTGCTCATGTCGCTGCACCACCTTTTTGCGTCCATTTGAGGGGTGCCGGTAGCATGTTCTGCGAGTCAGTCTTTTTCCCCTTTATGTCTGCGCGCTGAACCTGGAACTGTGAATGCTGTTTTATGTCGGTGCTTTGGTGACTCCTGGTTTTGGGGATGTGGCGGAATGGTTTGGCAAAATTCGGTACCCGAAGCAGGAAAGCGAAACCCGGTCGGTTTCGCAGTCATCCGCTAAACAGGCAGCTGAATGTGCTGAAGTCCTGGCAGTGTCGGATATGTTGCAGGCGAAGTTGCAAGCGCCATGTGGAAGTTGCGGTGACCAAATGTCGAGAAGCTATTTCAGCTGGATTGCGATGCAGCAGTTGCGGTTGGTTAGATGAAGTCCACTGAAAGTAGCCGCCATGAGAACCGAAATCAAGAGCCGAGCGAGGGAGGCCTCGAAGCGGGAAGTTGGAAGTTGGTCCAGTTTGCGCCGAGGTCGATGCCATAAATCGATAATGGGCGGGAGATCGATGTGTGCTGAGCCAGTAGAGATAGGTTGGTAATCAAGCGAGAGCAAGCCTACCTACCTCTAGAAGTAGGTGAGCGACCGCCAATGCGTCGCTTCTCGCTGTTGTCGAAACAGAACCGCCAAATGGAATGACCGCCCACCACAGGCCCGCGCAACGCCCAAAAGCACCGAGGAAGTGGCGACGCAGATTACCGGACACAACACAAGGAAGTGTCGGCTGTGCACTAGATGTCGAATAGATAGATGGATGATGATTGAATGAACAACCATGATACGCCGGGATAGATGTGAGACCATCAACTGATTGATGAAGCTGAAGGACAGTTCAAGGTATGATGCGTCCAAGCGCCCAAACCCCAAGCCGAATGATAGAGTAGCAAAAAGGGAGAAAGAATCGTTTCCTGACCGGTTGGTTCCAAAAGAAAAGCGAGGAAAGAATAAAATGGTTTCAGAAGGTTGCTGTTGTGACGAAGAGTGTGTGGCGAGGGTTAACATATTACGACATGCTGGGAACCGTTCCAGTGCTTGGCTTGGCAACAGCAAGTTTGTCGGATTTGGGGATTGGTGGGGGAGGGGAAGGATGAGAAAGGGCGCTCTGGCCGCCGAACAGGGAGGTGGAGAGCAGGAGCAAGGAGAGAGGACAGGGTCAGACAGAAGTACCGGTACATCGAGGAAGCCTGCATGTCTGGGTGGCTCAGGAGGCGGCAGGACGGGGTGAGGGAGCATGAGCGAACAGGCAAGAGAGATAAAAAGGGCCAATGAAGGCCGATGATTGGCCGCATCCGGCTCACAGTGCGGCGCACCAAAACGATAACGACCAGGGGACCCGCCACCACAAGATTAGCGTGGGTGCCTTAGGCGACATAGCGTAGACTGGGCCGAAAATTATAAGTAGTGGGCGCTCCCTCCAACCCATTGTTTCGAGAGTCTCGCGCGGAAGTCCCGACCGGCCCTACGTATCCGATACCTGCGTGCGGCCTCGATTTTCTTTTCATTTTCCCCACCACTACAACCACCACACCCCTCATCTCCAAATCCACTTCCATCAGAGAAGCTCGGCCCCGTCCGCACACGCATCACACGCATCGTCGTCGTCGCTGTTGTCACGGGTATCCAGAAAGAAGAAGAAGATCCAACGAAGCACAACCAGCACAGCATCATCCTGCTGTCGTGCGTTCAACGTTTTACTCTCAATCATCTCTCTCTCTCTACCATCCGCCGTCACCGTCACTGCGTTGTGTGGGCGCATCTCTCTCATTTAGGTTTAGGGGTTAATCACAGTCAGTCGGCCGTCAGACAGGAGATCCGATCCTCTTCCGGACAAAGGAAACACATAACCGTCGCCCTTTGCCTGCAAAAGAATCCGACCTCCTCCGTCCGCCGTCGACCTACTTCGTTTTAGGCGTCGAGGATAATAGAAGATTCAGTTCGTTGCACAGGCCACAGTGCATCGCTTTACCATCTCATCATCATCTTGCCTTTAGCTGTCCCGGTTACGGTCATCAATTGCCGTGAGCTGTTCCAGAGTGAACTACCTGCGTTCCGACGTAACAAAAGGAAGACATCAGTCACTTCGACATTCGTCCACTGCCGCCTACCGTCAGGTCGTCAACGCATCCGTCGAGCCACCGCGACACATATCCAATCCTCTTGACGCATCGTCGATTGCAAGATTTCGCAAGAGGTGCCTACCAAGAGTGTTTGTCAGGAAAGGAACAGAAGTGTTGGGGGAGACATTAACTTGTTCATCTCCCGCATTTGGTAAGCTCTTCTTAGCCCTCGCTCTCCCGCCCGTCCCGCCCTTTGCGTCCACACCTTGCCTTTTTTTGCATTGGGTTGAGTTGAGGTTCAGTTGAGCCTTGGTGGCAACTATTCCATCCCATCCCATCCCATTGCATTGTTCATTTGGAGGTGAATAGGTGGGAGTTGCCATTTCACCACGGTTGCCCCACTATCCAGTGACAAACCGACCCCTCGAGCCCCCCCGCCCACATATAAAATAACCATTTCTCGCGCCGTTGGAACTTTTCCCCCAAACAACCACAAACTTGCACTTGGCTTTTACACAACCAGCCTCTGCACGTCTGCGCAATCTTGCACCGCACTTTCGCTCATTCACCAACTTTTATATTACGGTAATTCTAATACAGCGCTGGTCGCAGATCTGTTCGAGAACGCAGAAGTCCAAATCTCAGACTCGCGCTCAGATTTGATTCAAGATGGATGCTATCCAGACCCACCCGTCCAACGCCGCTCAGGCGAAGGCTTTCACTGCGCCCGGTTCCCTGTCCTTCCCCGGTGCGGCCGGCGAGCTTACGCCGCCCACGTCCACCGCGAACAGCGACAAGAGCGCCGCGATCAATGGAGCTATCGGTGCGCAGGCCGCCAACGGCAATGGGGTGACACCCGCAACCCCCGCGGCTACGCCCGCAGCGAACCAGGGTCCCACCAGTGGCATGACCCCTACTCTACAGTAGGAAGACCTTGGCTTTCTTTTTCCCTCAAGGGGCTGTGGGCTGACCCAAACAGGAACATCGTCGCGACGGTCAACCTCGATTGTCGTCTTGATCTGAAGACGATTGCCCTGCACGCGAGAAATGCCGAGGTACGTGACGGGTTGGATTGCGGGGTCCCTTGCATTATCTGTCTTGGCCATGGTTGTCTAACAGCCGCAACAGTATAACCCCAAGCGTTTTGCTGCGGTTATCATGCGTATCCGTGAGCCCAAGACCACTGCCCTGATCTTCGCCAGCGGCAAGATGGTTGTCACCGGTGCCAAGTCCGAAGATGACTCGAAGCTTGCGTCGCGCAAGTACGCTCGTATCATCCAGAAGCTCGGTTTCAACGCCAAGTTCACGGACTTCAAGATTCAGAACATTGTCGGTTCTTGCGACATCAAGTTCCCCATCCGTCTCGAGGGTCTTGCTTCCAAGCATCACAACTTCAGCTCTTACGAGCCCGAGTTGTTCCCTGGTCTCATCTACCGCATGATCAAGCCCAAGATTGTGCTCTTGATCTTCGTCAGCGGTAAGATTGTCCTTACCGGCGCGAAAGTGCGTGAGGAGATCTACCAGGCCTTCGAAATGATCTACCCTGTGCTTCAAGGTTCGTTATCATATGTCTCTCACTTTCTGCTGTGTTCATTGTCACTAACTGTTTTTCTCCAGATTTCCGCAAGGTCTAAAGACTCTTTTCGAAATCCGCACATGGTGATCATTGTCATGGTGCCGCATGCAGCAACACCCCTCACACAACATGTCGACAACTGTAATTATACCCACAAAAACACCTATCATGATTTCACGACGAATCTCACCCATACCCAAAAAACCGAAAATCACTTTCTTGCGACTCGCGGTTTGCGTCTACTACGACCATCAAACGGAGTTCGACGCTTGAGTCGACAGGGAGAACCATTGTATCAATGTCCTGTTTATTTTCTTGCGGTTACGTCATCATTTTATTTTCTTCAGCAGCATTGCAGCGGCGTTCAGGTTCGACAAAGAAGGAAGAAAGAGCGGTATTCTTGCTACGTTATTTTAAGTCGGGGCGGTCATTTCCCTCTCGGCGATTCCTAAAACAGCCATAGAGCAGATCGCGCGTTGGGGGAAGAAAAGGAGAGTGGTCAACTGTAGTGTTGACTGGCGACACAAACACCGCGCGCTAGCGGGTTGATGTTGTCGGCGGCAATGTTGCGCAGGTCGATTGCCGTTCACACCCTTTTTTTTTTTATTACAACTTCACCTCACATACCCACTTCTAATGGCAGATGAGGGACCTAACGAGGGAAACAGGGGGTCACTGCGAAAGATGAAGGAGAGGGAGGTTGGCTTTCTGCGGGTTGACGTTTGAGTTGGTCACCTGAAGAAAAACACTAAAACAACCACTAGCGATACCCAAGATGAAGTCTGGCATGACAAAAAATATCAGCCGACAGGTCCAAAAGGGTCGCAGTAGGAACAAAAACTCTGGCGGGTGGGAGTTATTCTCACTTGCACAACCATCCCGCCACATAGGGAGAGGTGCAACTTTGCTTGGCATCTATGACGACGCACTGTGTGTTGCGTTTGTTTTGTTTCGTGGGTTAACGTACCAATCCACTGCAATGCCAACATTTATTTCAATGTCTTGTCCTCATGCAAATCTTCTGTGTTGTGTCGTGATGTAGCGTTTTGCTTGCTTGCATGTGAACATCTCTTTGCCCCTCCGTAGTTGGTGCGCCCCTCTTAGTTGAGTACAGCCGATGTCCTTTCCAACTCCGTAGACAAGATCAGTCCTGGGACTCCGCCACGGCTACCATCCTCCGTGATCACGGTCTTGATGGCAGCATCGCTAGCGGGATACCTCCAGTTCCACTTGCCCACGAACTCTGGCGGACACTGACCGGCGATGACATCGGCAATCTTCTCGCCAATGACCGGCAGGAACTTGAACGCATGCCCACTATCGCCCGTAGCCACAAACAGGCCCTTGTATTCGGGATGGTAGTCGATGATGAAGTCCGCCGTCGGGGTATCCGAATACCAGCAAATGCGAGTCTTGCTAAAGGGTCGGTCGCGGAGCGAGGGGAGGGGTACCATCTCATGTAGAGCGCGGCGGAGGTCATCGGCGCCTTCGGTGGGGATTTGGAGCGTTGGGTTTGTGAGGGTGGTCAAAGGAAGAGACACAGCCGCTGCCGGTGTGGTGACGGAAGACACGAGCGGTGGGACGGACAAGGTCGTGGGATTCAGGTAGCCGTAGGCATGCCGAGCGACCTTGAGGACGCCGTTCTTGGGTGGGATGACGAAGAGGCCTGTGGAGAGGTTGAGGATGACGGGCATGTGGGCCAGCTGAGCCTCTTCCTCGGGCGTGAGGTCGATGTAACCGAGCACTTGGCCAGTGGCGATGGCTTGTCCTGTCAGGTCGACGAGACGGCCGGTCCAGGCACCAGCGGAAACCATGACGAGGTCGGCGGAGAGGACGCGGCCGTCTGAAAGTCGGGCGCCGGTAACGGTGTTACCAGACACTTCAAGATTGGTCACTTCGCCGACGACAAAGTTGATACGGTCCTCAGCTCTGACGCGCTTGTAGAGCCAGGCCATGGAGGCACCGGCGTTGGCCCAGCCGGACAGACCGTTGATGTAGCCCCAGGAGCCGGAGGAGCCGCCGGTGCCCAGGGCTGCCTTGATGGCGTCGGTGTTGGGGCACTCCTTGATTCGGGCGGCAAGCTCGGGGTCACTGGAGGCGAGAGAAAGCACGTTGGCCCAGCTAAAGCGGGCGTAGTCCATGCCTGTAAGCTTGGACTTGTCGATGACGCTGGTGCCAGGTACCACAGGTGTTCCCGGTGGTGGAGCTGGTCCGTCAGCGACCACAAGAAGGCCACTCTCGGAGTAACGTCCTTCTGACCCAAGGTCATCGGGGTGGGTTTGTTGGCGCCATTGAAGCTGAGCTTCGGCGGCTAGGGCAGCGTAGGCAGCATCGGGATAGTCGGCTCTGATGATGCGGCTGGTGTCGACACTGGCAGCGTCGGGAGCGGGGAAGACGTCTGGGTTAGACGGGTCGGCCCTGTCTACGACGGTGATGGTGGTGTTGACGAAGTCATGACGGCGAGAAAGGGCATAGGCGGTGGTCAAGCCAAAGACGCCAGAGCCGATGATGAGAATGGAAGAAGGAGGAGAAAGAGGAGAGGAAGCGGATGACGACTGATGGGGTTTAGGAGGAAGAGAAGAGGAAGGAGCTGAGGGAGTCGCCATCGGGAAATGAAGGAGAACAAGGTTCGACTTGGCAAGAATGGAGCGGCAGGGGACGTCAGAGGACGAAAGGATCACCAAAAGGACCGTGCCAGCTGAGGGGGTCTGAGTGGTCTGAGGTAGAGGTAGGTAGGAGTGCGCAATGCTCGGGCCTGTCGAGTTTGTGGGGGTGTGTGTGTGTGTGTACCGTATGTGTGTCTGCTGTTGTGTGCCCTGTGTCAGTGCAGTGTGTGGAAGTGGTTGGCCGTGTGCTGGCACACTCAGTCTTTGTTGCCGGTTCAAGACTGTGCAGAAAGGGCAAGAATGTGATGTTTCACATCAGGGAGTAGAAAAGAAAAGAACCAAGGAATTATTTGAAACCTGCAGATAACGGAAGAAAAAGGAGCGGCATTTTTAGGAAATCCATCAATCCATCAGTGAGACCGTTAGACTACACTAGTAGCCCACAAGCGGGAAAAGGAGGCAACCTAGAGAAAGAAAGGAACACTAGGTAGTCTAGGGTGGAGCGATAACAAGCGCCGGCGTGTGTTATTGCGCGAGTTGGGAAGTCGAGGGGATCAGCGACTGGACTGAGCGAGTGAAAGAATACGATTTTGGAACTGAGGAGAAGGGGTCCAGTTTCTAGGGGATACAGTATGACCGCATGGCGGCGGGGAGCATTGCAGTGACCATATCAAAGAAAGGGCGCTGCAACTCCAGAGAGGTGGAGTCCGTCTCCTTTGATGAAACGAAGAAACCTGAGTGGTTGAGGGAAACGCGGGGAAGACAAGCAACTTGTGACAATTTGCAGATGACGAAGGAAGGGCTTCTTGATGTTGGTTCTGTCAAGTTCCAGTGTCGTGAAAGAGAAGAGAAGTCGGTGAAGGAAAGAGAGGAGAAAGCAACAAACAGAGGAAATGGAAAGACTCGCAGTAGAAGTCGGAAGACGGAAGATTATTATTATTTGATGTTGAATTGCAAGAGGACAGCCGTAAGAAAGACATACGATGGCGGAGATGCCGTAAGCTGAGCACTGGCCAGGTCTCTTCTTGGGAATCCCTTGCTTGGTGCACTTGCTGCAGGGCATTGACAAGCATTGCTTACGACTCTGCCACTCCGGCACACCGGCGCCGATATTCAGATTGGCTGCCGGTGTTGCCAGCTGCTTAGATCATTTCGAGCAAGAGAAAGTGGAAAGGATCATGATAGTAGTTGGATATTGACCAAATGCAGTGGCCAGAGAGGGAAACTGGCCCCGGTCGTGCATCACAGTTCTGCAATTTGTGTGATTATTAGATCACGAGATGGCGGGTGGTGGCAGGCATCGTGAGGAGTCGACATAAATCAGTATGAGTCCAATCATGATGTTCCGGTCAACGAACGACCTGGGAGTTCATCATCAGGCAAGCTGTGTTGACAATTGCCCATTTAATGTTATTCGCTTGGCAACTCGAAGCCAGATGCCCTCGGAGCTCTGTTCTAAAAGTTCAAGTTATTGTTGTTGTCCTCTTTCGCACATGTCCGCAGCCGAGTAACACTCTGACTTGACACACCAGGTCGCACCATCTTTGGAGGTTCCGAATCCAATGCAAAGACCTTTTGATTTTAAGTGGCCGGTCGAGCCGCAAAGTTTAGGATGGAACAGCGACGAGAGGATATTCCAGTTTGGAACACAAATTTCGACAAGTTCAAAGGTTGAAGATCAACTGCTGTGTACATACTCTTGATACTGTACCTCTCCGGTAACGATTATGAAACGAGAACTTGTAAAATACGCGTACGATGTCCTCATCTAGGCGGTTCTTCCTTACGTTCCTGTAATATTACGTGGCCCTACCACATACTATCACAACGGGGAGAGCCACTCTGCGGTGCCCTGCACCGCGCTTTCGTCGCTCCACGTCCCGTCCCCAGTTGCATCAGGCATCAGCACCTTGCTGACCACGAACAGCCAGCACCGTGATTATTCGTCGCAGCCAGCCATGCCCAATCGATAACATGTCGTCGTCCAAGAAGATTGCCGAATTTCCTGACGTGGAGGCGAAGCTCCAGAGGGCCACCAAGCAATCCGCATTCGAGCGCCAAAAGGCAGAGGCAGAGGCCAAGCGCCGCAGAGAAGCTGCTGAGACGGCCGCTGTCTATGAGGATTTTGTCAAGAGCTTCGACCATGATGACAGTTCCGAATCACGACCTCCAAACTCCCGATACGGCAACGACCGACCCGAAAGGCCAACCCTTGGTGGACAGCCGTTTGGAGGAACGGGCAAGAGACACTTTGGCGTCAACAGTCTCAAAAGTGGTCCCGGCAGTCTAGGACCTCCTCCAACATCGTTTGGAAAGAAGAGGTCCTACGATGATTTCCATTCCAGTCGCCAAAGGCCCCACGACGAGTCTAGGTCAAGATCAGGGTTTGAGGAGAGGGAGAGGGAGAGGGATGGCGAGAAGAGCTCTTTGCCCGTGTCCAGGGTTTTCAATGATAGCGACAACGAGGAGGAAGCGACCGTTAACGGCCGAGCAGAGGAGAAGGCCATTTCGAAACCCACACTACGTCTTTCCAACCTCCCGCCGAGCACATCGCCAGCCGTCATCAAGGCGCTCATACCACCCAACTTGACGGTCGAGAACGTCAAGTTCGTTCCACCATCTGGCCCACAAGGGACGGAGCGCAAGTCCATTGCCGCCATCGTCACCTTGTCCAAGGAAACACCCGCAACCGAGATCGATGCCGCCGTGAGCGCGCTACAAAACCGTTACCTTGGCTATGGTTACTTTCTGTCTTTGCACAGACATCTTTCATCGGCCGCCATAGCGTCGGGCTTGACGGCCGTTCAGACTTCGACGACAGTATCACATCCATTCGGCGCAAAGCGGGTGGAGGAAAAGCCAATCGGCCATGGTCCGCATCACGGAGGCTATGGACGCAACTATGCTCCTCCATCACATTATGGTCCTCCAGGGTCCGCTATTAGCAGAAGTGGTCTGCTCCATGTCCCCGTAAAACCTCCACGAGACATCAGGACACTGCGCATGATTCACAAAGTCGTCGAGTCCGTCTTGGAGCACGGACCCGAATTTGAGGCTCTTCTCATGTCTCGACCAGACGTTCAGCGAGAAGAGAGGTGGGCATGGATTTGGGATGCTCGCAGCGAGGGTGGCATATGGTATCGCTGGAGGCTATGGGAGATCGTAACGGGCTCCCAGGCAAAGAGGGGAAAGCCCAAGTATGTCCCACTCTTCGAAGGAAGCCACGCGTGGAAGTCGCCCGAGCCCCTCGCCTACGAGTATACAACATCAGTGGACGAGATTGCCTCCGATTCGGCATACGATACGGACGAAGAGGACGATTTCGAGGACGAACAAAAAGAGCACAACGGGCAAGAAGACACATTCCTCAACCCCATAGAAAAGGCCAAGCTAGCGCACATGCTAGCTCGGCTGCCCACGACACTATCCAAGATCAGAAAAGGAGACATTGCCCGCATCACTGCATTTGCCATCACTCACGCAAGTCGAGGCGCCGATGAGATCGTCGACATGATCATTTCTAACGTCGAATCCCCCTTTTCCTACACGCCCGCCAACCCCGACCACCAACAGCGCTCCCGCGAGCGCGAAGGACAAGACGGGAATAACTCCCGGGATTCATCCCCCGTAGCAGAGGACAAGGACAAGGACAAAACTAACGACAGCACTCCCGACCTTAGCGCCGCCCGACTCCTGGGTCTTTATGTAATCAGCGACATCCTCTCCTCCTCATCGACAAGCGGCATCCGCCACGCCTGGCGCTACCGGCAACTCTTTGAGACCGCTTTACGCGCCCGCAAGACATTTGAGTTGCTAGGTATGATGGCCGACAAGCTCAACTGGGGCCGTTTGCGCGCGGACAAGTGGAAACGCAGCATTGGCCTTGTCCTGAGTCTATGGGAGGGTTGGTGTGTGTTCCCCATCGAGACACACGAGTTCTTCGTCAAGAGCTTCGAAAACCCGCCTGCATTGAAGGCGAAGGAAGCGGAAAAGGAGGAGGCGGAGAAGAAGGCTGCTGCTGCTGCTGCTGCTGCTGCTGCTGCTACGGGTGGGAAATGGAAAACGGTAGATGGGCCTGCTGCTACTACAAATCAGGCCAAGGCTACCGGTTTCTTGCCGGTGTCAACACTTCAGGAGACATCTACTACAGCCGAAACGGAAGAGGGGATAGAAGCGGAGTACGTGGAAAGGATGCTGGAGACGGGTGATACGGATGGGGAGCTGGTGCTGCCGCCGAATCATATGCAGTATAGTTCGGGAACGGACGAGCTGTTTTCGGATGATGATATTGATGGGACGCCTGATGATGACTTTATGGCCCTTTTGCGGAATCTCACTACGACGGATGATGGGGATGTGGTCATGGGAGAGGCCGTGCAGACATCAGCACCAGCATCAGCATCAACGACAGATTCGAAGACAGTGGAAGTTAAGTCGGTGGCTGGATTCCAGATATCGGCGAACAAGGCTGCGCCGACAAAGAAGCGGATGCGGGCTGTTGACATGTTTGCTGGGTCGGACTCGGAGGGGGAGAAGTAGTAGATGACACTCGCTGTCCGGAATACAGTACACCCGGAGGTGGTTCGAGGTGGAACAAGCATACACAACCCTTATTTCCATGTCCTTGTCTAACCCTCAACTTGCAATTACCTACGCAACTTTCAAGGTTTGTCACACACACTGCAGCCGAGTGTCAGCAGTTACCACTTTCGGAAGCCGTCACGTCTTACACATGTCAGCCTTGTGATACTTATTGGGAATAGCCAATGGAACTTGTCGAGTATGGTGAAAATCCAGTCCCGTCAGCCTCTTTCAATTGCTCTTCTTGGCTTAGTCTTTCATCGTGTCGGGTGCTCTTGCTCAGACGGACAAAACGACAAGTGCGCCTGTGCGTTGAACTCTTGGCTTTACTGGCAGTCTGGCTGCGGGATGGATGCAAATTGGGAAAGAGTACCCAGGTACAAGAATACCTAGTAGCTTAGTCACCAGGAAATAGCCAATGAAAACATGCTCAAACTGGTCCGACAAGACCGCACCCCCCACCACCAGAAGAGCAACAACCCACCAAGCACCAACCGCCCAGTCCACACCATAACCGATGCCCATTCGTGATCCGAGTTTCAAAACATTGAAAGACGGCAGACGAGCCTCGAACAGCGCCTGTTGGACCCTGGCGTCTACGGCTGCCCTAGTACAATCGCCACCGCCTTGCTCGTCTGTCTGTATGATCCTCTTGGACTTCTTGGGAAAAGAGACGCGGGTCGTCTGCCGAAGAGAAGTCAGTCAGTCGTTCCCTCCTCGTTCATAAGCCGCAGTGAGGCTGTTCCCGTCAGAACCCAAGGCAGGGTAGAGGTAGGCAGTCACTACTACCCACACTACCTACCCAGCACCAGTACCACAGAAGGAGCTTTGGTTAACATGAGAGTGTAACATCAGAAGTGTTGAACTCATTCGTCCCTTGCTTTGGCTGCTACTACTACTACTACTACCTGCTGCATTCAGGTTGCTTCCGTCCCGGGGCACTGTCACTTTGACCTGCCGTAGGTTGCCGCTGCCGTCGTCGGTTCACGGCCAGACGAACTAGGGGGAACCTTCACTTGTTAGAATCATATGCATTCTCAGGCAATCTTTTACGTTTTACACTACTCTTCGTACGGGCATACATCATCTCTACTCGAGGATTCACCGTGACAGCTGCCAACCGAATCAAGAGCTCTCATGGACAGGACCTCCACAGGACATTAACCACGCAACCATAGCCAGCCAAAATCCTGGTCTGACAATCCACCACTGAAGTCCTGACCATATCAAATCGGTTTCGCAGTATCAAAGCCGCCGGCTCCAACCCATATACGGTCCCACGGATCACCCATCTGGTCTCCTGAACCGTCCATGAACAAACAGTTCGGGACCCCGAACTACTACCAAGACCCGACCAGGAGATCCAGGTGCGACGGTGAGCCGTGAGAGAGCTCTCCTATCATATCATCACCCAAGGACCCAGCAGAGTCAAAACCCTAACGAGCACGTTTTACGCGCGCGAGACACGGGGCCGAGCCGCTGGTCCCTGGTGACTGAGGGTGACCGGGGGGGTTCCCTCAAGTCAATTTTCTCGAGCGGTTTCCACCCCTCGCTCATCTCTTACGAACTTTGAGTAAGGTCATCACTTGGGAGACCTACCACCAGCTGCCAAAATGCCCATCATCAACGGCCAGAAGATGGCCTGGTAAGTCACTCTTCTCATTTACTTTAACCCTTTCTCTCGTCTTTATACTCGTATGTTTTGCCATACCGGAATTTGTTATCCCGCAGGCAAAGGGCACCGGTGTGCCGTCGCACCAAACTCATCCGTTCGCTGCCTTCCGAAACCGAAGCTGGCAATTCTAGTCAGACATACATCTTTCGGACTCTCTTCTTTTTTTTTTTTTTGTCTTTTTCTGTTCTTTTTTTTTAAGGCTGACATCTCTCTTTTCCCCTTAGTGCGCCATGTATTCGCGGCCATCGTTCTACAAAATGCACTCATGCCACCGAGCGCGTTATGGTGCCCGTTAGGAAACCAGGACGGCCCCTGAGCCTTTGCGCTTGTCCAAATCGGCCTCCAAGCTGCTCTTGCGGAGGCGGAGGCGTGAAGGTAGCGATTCCTCGAAAGCAAACGTGCGGATGTGGTTCTGTTCACGGTAGTTCCACAGAAGACCATTCGCCTACGGCCGCTGCCCAAGGCATCCCGGCGCCTCGCCTTCATGCCTCTTCATCAACCCCGGCGCGACCTGGTTTAAGAGTGAGCAAATCGGGCTCCATATCGAAGCCACATTCCCGACATCATTTGCCGACGTTTGACCTAGACATAACGAAACTCGGCGTGGCCGCACAGCACAATGCCGCCTTGGGTCCGAATATGGCGGGTGTCTCTGCCGGCGAACTGATGACGAGCGTCAATCTAACGGTGCAGCTACCACTTGGGTGTCAACCGGGACTCAATCATGGAATGGGATTTTCAGCTGTCAGCGCCAATGACTCTCCGTTGAACCAACAAACTTTTTCATCCGTATCTTCAGTGGGACACGACGGAGTCGCGCAGTCACCGCAACAGGGATTCAAGACTGGAAACAACGCCGTCTCTGAGCAAATGGCCATCTTCGCTGCCTTACAGAGACAGCAAATCACCAACCGCAGTGAGGCTATCGATGGCACTTTCACGGGATTGGAAAGCTTCCCTCGACAACAAGTTACACATAGTCAGAGTAAACCAGCGTCTCAAAGCAGTCCATCGACCACTATTGGAGATCAGAGTTTTACCAGCGAGGCCTTACAATGGAACCAAGTCAAAAAGGACTTGAATTCCAAAGGCAAAGAAATGGAAGGGGCAGGCACAGAGGGTATCGAGGGTATCCACAAAAAAGGGAGCTGTTGTGGTGGTAGTCGTGAATTACGAGGATCTCAACTGCGTGTTAATGGCTCTGTTGCTATGCCTCAGTCGGGTTACGGACAGTCTTCCGCAAACCCTATGCAGTTCAACGCTCAACCTCCTTTACAGCTTAAGGAGCAGCAACAACCCTTAACGCCCACAGTTATGCCCTTTGGTTACCAGACCGTCTTTCGGTACCCAGAAGAGTACGGTTCCTGGAACCACCCTCTTGACCCCCAAACCTACCAACAAATGATCCACCAAGGGGCCGCTGCCGCACAAGCAGCCCAGCAAGGAGGCGACCTCAGCCTTGGTCTATTCCTGTCTGGCGGGGGAGGTGATGGCACTGGCACAAGTCACGAATGCACTTGCGGTCCTGGCTGTCAATGCATCGGATGTGTCGCACATCCTTACAACAGTCAAACCATTCAGTATGTCCAGGATGCTTATAACTTCAACATTGCTAGTCCCATCGGCAGTTCCGCTGGTAACAGCCATCACAGCAGTCTCGACTTTGCTGCTACTGTTGGGGTTCAGCAGCAGCAACAGCAACAATACCAAATCCGCAGCCCTATTCGTGGTTCTCGAACCGGCCAACAGCAGCAATCTCAGCAGCAACTGCCGCCCGACTCGCCAGTCGAGGCCCAGACGCCCAGCGACGCATCAGGTACCCCTAGCGAAGAACAGTACCTCTCCACGGCAGACTTTCTGTGGGCTACCATCCCACTACCTAACTGTGCCGGCGAGTCTCTATCTTGTCCGTGTGGAGATGATTGCGCCTGTATCGGATGCGTCATTCACGGGAAGGCGGCGCCATCTTTGGTTGGTGGTGGAGAGGGGTTGGAGCAACAACAGGTGTGTGACGTAGGTCAACATCAGCAGGTTCCAAGCCAGGGCCACGAGGCTTTGATGCCCATGTCGGATGGATTACCACAGGGAATGATGCCTAATGACCCTCTGGGTGTGATTCCCCTCACACAGCGGATAGGAATGGGAGACATGAGTGGCTTGAGCGCTCTTAACGGTGGGGGCATGAGCAGTGATATGAACAACGCGGTGTCTAGTCCCCGCACGCTCCATGTGCCCTTTGGTATCGACGGTATCCTCAGGGCTACTGCCAGTGGCGGCGGTGATGGTGGTAGCGGGAGTTGTTGCGGAGGCAGGGGAGCTGGTGGTGGTGGTGGTGGCAGAAGCACAGAGGTGTCCGTCCCTTAGGAGGAGGAGGAGGAGGAGGAGGAGGAGGAGACCAGATTTGACTTGCCCAAGCTTTCGACGAAAAATGGCGAAAAGCCTGATGAGCCGGTTCGAGGCGGAGAGAAGAGAAAACAAGACGAAACGGATGAGAGACCAAAGCAAACCTAAGTTGGGAAGATGAACACCTGTTGAAAATGGACATATACGATGCGCCAAACCCAGATTCGAGAAATATGGATCGCGGGTGATAGCAGGTTATCGAAAGAGAAGGACGGTAAACAAGGGGCTGGCACAAACGTATACATATACCCATAGCTACTAGCTAGAAAAGCACAAGGCAGGCAACAACATAGTAAATAAATACATAGGGCCTTGATGGCAATTCTCCTCTCGCACTTTCCTCTGAAAGCTCGCCATCAACTGCATATCTTCCAAGCACTGACAGCAGCGTAAGCGTAGCATTGAGCAAGATACCTAGAGGTAGGAAGGCACAGTTATCACAGTAGCGGCGTAAGATCGTTATCGGACCCGTTGGAAGTGATCAGATCAGCGCGCGCGTTTGAGCAAGTAGAATAACTGCCACTCGAGAACAAATCAAAACAGAGCACACTTGAGGCCTGCAGTAAGGTAGTCCACATGAACATGATGAATATGAGGCACGCGGCCCAGCAGTAGGTACATCACCAAGCAGCTCAGCTCAGAGTACCAGCAGCAGCAGCAGCAGCGATGGTTTTTGTCAAGCGTTCATTCAACGTTGATGAACCGCATCCCGAAAACAACGGCTCTGATTGGATAGGGAAGATATTCCCACAGTAGATATGTACAACAAGTTTAGAGGTAGGTAGGTAGGTAGGTAGGTAGGTAATATCCCTTCCCAGCGGGTAAGAACATGAAAAGAACATGAGAAGAAAAAGAAAATAAATGGGGGAAAAAACAGGAAAAACGAAAACAAAGAAGGGCGTTCAACGCTCCAAAAATATTAATAGTAATAGTCATACCTATCCGTAAAAAAAAAAAAAAGAAAGAAAGAAAAGATCCCGACGCAAAACAAACCACCTCGTATAAATCGTTTGGCGAAATTCTCCGTTTTCCCAGTCTCGTTGTTATTTCCAATGTTTGTGTTGTCGTTCGTTGATGATGTTCCAGAGACTCAACCAATTTCCGTCCCTCTCTCTCTCTCTCTCTC